TTTGAAGTTTAAGGTAGAATACCTTAAAAACTCAAAAATTATAGTAAAAATAACATTTTTCTAGTAAGTTTATGGGGAGATAATTCTAGCAATATTGGTGCTAGAGTTATGAACCTTGTCACATAAGATGTGGATGATGATAAGGTACATATATTTGAAGTATGCATGAAGTTGATCCCTTTAGAAATAAATAAGTAACAGTAAAAAATAATATTCTTTATACTTCGTATAGTCGAGCTAAAAATGTGACCACTAGAGTGTTAAAAAGGATTTTCTATTCTTTGCTCCCGTGACCTAGTTTTTCACCTCAGATGACCCATGTTCAAACTCTCCAAGCAATTACCGAGACAAGCATCCTGACCAAGTTTGATGATAATTGAGTCAAAGATGTGACCACTAGCGTGTTAACAATGTTTTTCTATTTTTAGCTCCAGTGACCTTGTTTTTCATCCGAGCTGACCCATGTTCGAACTCATTCGAACAATTACCTATATAAGCATCCTGATCAAGATTGATAATGATTGAGTCAAAAATGTGACCGCTGGAGAGTTAATAAGGTTTCCTATTCTTAGCTCATGTGACCTAATTTTTCATCCGAGATGACCCATGTTCGATCTCATCCGAGCAATTACCTAGAGAAGCATCCTGACAAAGTTTGATGATGATTGAGGAAAAATGTGACCGCTAGTGTTAACGAACAAGTGTGGACGGACGACGGACATTCAACGATCCTAAAAGCTCACCCTGAATTAGCTCAGGTGAGCTAAAAAAAGTTAACCATCTTGATTACAATAGAGGTATCTGGCTATATTTTGTTTTCCTAATGGTAAATAACTTTTTTTTAAATCATTTAATAAAAGCAATCTTCACGTCTGACTTCATACAAATAGGACACTTTGACCCAAGGGACTGTAATTGGCGTATACTCAAAATAAGCCAAGGTACGCCCCTGCTTAATATCAGGTACGTCAACAATTATTTGTTGATGTCGTGTTAGAATCGAAAATATATATCCAAATCAGTGATTAAATCACTGTTTGTCGTTCTGATGTCATTATATAGTTTGGTCCCCGTCGTACTGTAAAAGAACGGAGAGAAAAGGGCAGGTAATCCAGACTAATCATTATACATGTATCATTTGGGCTCTCATGATATAACGCATGCAAACTCCAAACAGTGATTTTATTGAGCGATAAAATCACTGTTTGGGATATATTATTTGCTTAAATAAAGAATAGAAAAAACTTTAGACATTTATGACAAAGGATATTTATGAGAATCTAAAAACTAGATATTCATGTTTGTGACAACCGGTGTCAGTTTTTTGCTCTTAATATTTTTTAAATAAATTTCTCAGTAAAATAAGGCTAAGAAAACTAATATTTTATTTAGTCAAAGATTAAGTGTAATTGAAGTCATCGTGTTTAGCCTGGTTACAGTCATAGTGTTTAGCCTGATTACAGTAAAAAAAATCTAGCCGGATTACAGTCATTGTGTTTAGCCTGATTACAGTCATCGTGTTTATCCTGATTTAAGTCATTGTGTTTAGCCTGATTACAGTCATATTATCTAGCCTGCTTACAGTCATAGTGTATAGCCTGCTTACAGTCATAGTGTCTAGCCTGCTTACAGTCATAGTGTCTAGCCTGCTTACAGTTCATAGTGTATAGCCTGCTTACAGTCATAGTGTATAGCCTGCTTACAGTCAAAGTGTATAGCCTGCTTACAGTCATAGTTGTATAGCCTGCTTACAGTCATAGTGTATAGCCTGCTTTACAGTCATAGTGTATAGCCTGCTTACAGTCAAAGTGTATAGCCCTGCTTACAGTCATAGTGTATAGCTGCTTACAGTCGTAGTGTATAGTCGGATTACAGTCATAGTGTTAAGTCTGATTACAGTCATTGTGTTTAGCCTGATTTACAGTCATAGTGTTTAGCCTGATTACAGTCATAGTGTATAGCCTGCTTACAGTCAAAGTGTATAGCCTGCTTACAGTCATAGTGTATAGCCTGCTTACAGTCATAGTGTATAGCCTGCTTACAGTCATAGTGTATAGCCTGCTTACAGTCAAAGTGTATAGCCTGCTTACAGTCATAGTGAATAGCCGGATTACAGTCATAGTGTATAGCCCTGCTTACAGTCATAGTGTATAGCCTGCTTACAGTCATAGTGTTAAGCCTGATTACAGTCATAGTGTTTAGCCTGCTTACAGTCATATTATCTAGCCTGCTTACAGTCATAGTGTATAGCCTGATTACAGTCATAGTGTATAGCCTGCTTACAGTCATAGTGTATAGCCTGCTTACAGTCATAGTGTATATAACCTGCTTACAGTCATAGTGTATAGCCTGCTTACAGTCATAGTGTATAGCCTGCTTACAGTCATAGTGTATAGCCTGATTACAGTCATAGTGTATAGCCTGCTTACAGTCACAGTGTTAAGCCTGATTACAGTCATAGTGTTAAGCCTGATTACAGTCATTGTGTTTAGCCTGATTTAAGTCATTGTGTTTAGCCTGATTACAGTCATAGTGTTAAGCCTGATTACAGTCATTGAGTCTAGCCTGATTGTAGTCATAGTGTATAGCCTGCTTACAGTCATAGTGTTAAGCCTGATTACAGTCATTGTGTTTAGCCTGATTTAAGTCATTGTGTTTAGCCTGATTACAGTCATAGTGTTAAGCCTGATTACAGTCATTGAGTCTAGCCTGATTGTAGTCATAGTTTAGGTCAGAAACAGCCCGGACAAAAATTAAGTATGAAAATTAACAAAGGCCAATAACTAAAAAAAATAAGAAGTGCAGGGTAATGATTCTTGTGCACTGCACTTCTTCTTAATGAGATCTAGTATCCTATGAATTTTCAAGTCCACAGCTTTTATAGTTAAGAGAAATGGCCCAGTATGAAAATAATCGAAGGGCAATATCTCAAAATTAAGAAGTGCAGAGAAACGATTCTTGAGCACTGCACTTCAGGTCATTGAAAGAAGCATGCATACCAAGTTTGGAGTCAATCTGAAATAGTGACCGAGTTATGCTCTAGGCATGCCTTAGGGCCACCACTTCCAGGAAAAGTTACCCCTATATGTCGAGCTTTTCAAGGGGACAAAAAAAAAAAACACGAAAGAAAGTCAAAACATATGAAGATATTTTTTATTAATCACAAAATGTGAAAATAGTTTTACATAAAAAACAAATATTAAACAGATTATAATTGCATGTTTATCATGGAATAATATTCTACTTGATATACTTGTAGAAAGGAAATATATATCTGAATATACCTCCAGATCACTATAAATAAATATTATCACAAAATGTAGTTGGACGGAATGGAACAATAGTTTTGGAAGTACGTCAAAACGACAATACCTAAAATAACAATCAGACAGCATTTGACTTTGCTATTTATTATATAAAATATAAAGAATAAATATTGAGACATCAAAATTTTATTATATGGTCAGGTCTTCCAACAGAGGACCTGTAGCTATTTGTTTCCCCTTTAACAGTTCTAAAATAGATTTAAGTTATCTCACCATTTACATATCTCTTCCTCTATTTCAGCTGGGACTTAATTTGTTATTTTAAGTCTGAGATTTCAGAGAAGATATAGATAGAGATTTATTATGAAATATTAAGCATATTGAAAAGTGACAACTTTTGTGTAAATTTATTCATATATTTGTTTCCTAATTGTACAGTGCTTATTTCAATATGTGAAGGCCATGAGAACACACTGAAGTTTATGCAGTCACACTGGAAATTTCAACTGCTAAACAGAACTTTAAATATTTGTGTCATATCCAGAAATTAATTGCTCTAGAGCTTAAGTTCAAATAAATGCCTTTGTTTATAGACCCCCAAACACCCCTCTCCCCTGAAAAATCAGCAGTACACCATATATTTAGGTAGCAGTCTTGGAAAAAATTATTATATCAGCTAAAGTTTTGACATATTGAATACTGACATTTTCAAAGAGTAACATCAAAATAGTGTAATGTGACTTCAGTAATTACTTTAAAAAAACAGCAACAATGTAAAACACAACAATACGTATATATGTACATGTACATGTTTTTTAAATAGTAATTCTTTTCAGAATATAAACATATAAAGTATTTTCAAAACATACTTTAATTAATACGTTATCACAGACTGTAAAATACATTTTTTTACTCCACATAAACTTATCACACTGGATGTTTATACTAAGGTATAATACTTCAAAATAATAGATCATAAATGACACTTCACATTATAACTACTCATCATACTTAATAACGGTCATATTATTCTTCATGCAATAATATATGGATGACATTATCACAGCAAAGTTCATCAACATTGTCTTCAATTAAAATTGAACAAAAATATGAAAAATATTCAGTAATTTTCTTCAATTTTCTGGTCTCCAAACATACAATATGTGCAAATGTTATTTTTTTAAAAATCACAACGTAAAAGTGAATCTCTAGTCAAGGTGGTGTTCCTTGCCTCAATTATATTCTTTCTAGTGAAGAGAATATAGCATCATTTTCCAGCAAACTATTTTTTTCTCATCTGTTGATTAAATCAGCACATATTTCAACCAATATTTCAGTTTAATTCTTTGGATAACTTTCAATAAAGCACACTTTTCACACATACAAATATCTGTCAATGAATTATTCACATTCAGGTAAAATAAAAAATTATAAAATATAACATGTATAATAAATCATAATGTACAGAAATATTCAAATAATACCGATCTGCATATATATTATATAGTCTGTTTCAATTTCTTGTAAAACTGTTGCACATAACACCATAAAATATAGTTCCTTTCAATTTTCAGAGATTATTTTTCACAGCACCAAGTTGTTTTTAACAATTGTTCTTTTTTATCAGTAAATTAAGCTGATCTTAAAATATTTATTTCTTAACGGTAAACTTAGCTGAACTCTTAACTGGTTGCCATTGGAATAATTAAATAAATGTTTATTTTTTTTGCAAGTGCTATTCTTAAAATGTGATAAAATTCAGTCCATTTTTGTTTATTCATTGAGTTGGCAGAGTAAAGCAGCGCCCTTTGCTATCCAATAGTCCTGTGGTAGATCTGACGGTAGATAAACAGCTACGACGTAATTTGTAGAGTGACCTGTTGAGAAACATGAGAAGAAAATACGTTAAAAAAAAGAACTTTTCATCATCCTTAGTGCAATAAGTAATTAACTGCTATTTAATTTAGGACTTGTTCTGTTATTGCACTAAGGTAACCATTTATAAATTCACAATCTTTAATGAACTTCAATTATATTTTTATATTTGAAACACTTCATTATCTTAAAGAGTCTTTAGATTTCATGTTATGAAGTAAATGTGTCAATTAAACAAATAAACATATGAAAATATAAATAAAAATTTACTCAACAACCCCCGAAATTAAGAAAATATGGGTTCTTCCCAGCTAATCCGTGGAAACAAACAAGTATTTACAACTACGTTACAGCTTCCAAAATAAGTGCAACAGGTTGACCAATCTATTGTGATGGGTAGTGCACCGTGAAGCTGTAATGGTAAAGGTCTGTTTGTACCGACGGATTAGCTGGGAAAAACCCACATTTGCCAAGTTCCGAATAACATCTTTTAATTAAGGTAAGAAAATACATGTACCCACTTATGTGCATCACCCCACTAAAAAAAAAAATTCAATTTCTAAAAATAAGAAAGTTATGTAATGTACCTGTCGTAGATAATGTACCAGCACGAGCAGATGTTTTGTATAACGGTGCCATATAGTCCGCTGAATCAGGTTCAATATCCATATCCGGTTCCATATGCAACATAGGAAGCTCTGCACTCATCTCTCCCGGTAATGCATCAATTATCTTCATTGTCTCCATATCCCAGGCACTGGCATCCATAAATAAACCATGGACAAGTACACCATCTTCGGGCACATTCAACTGGAAAGAAATTTTCATCTCCTTATTTATCGCATACTAAGTTTGTTTGTTTCACTTTACGCCTTTTCCCCGACAGTATTTCAGTCATATAGGCGGGTAGTTTCCTAACCATCGTTCCTGGAGAGTTACACCAGTACTGGACTACTTTTCTCCGTGCTAAACTACCAAAGCATCTCCCGGGGATCGAACCCACGCCAGAGAGGTAACTGGATTAGAAGTCATCGACTCTCAGTGCTAAACAACCAAAGCATCTCCCGGGGATCGAACCCACGCCAGAGAGGTAACTGGATTAGAAGTCATCGACTCTAACCCCTTGACCACGGAGGTTTGTGGATGGAGAGATCTGGCAGATGGACTTACATGGGCAATCTATATACGCTAAGTATTATAAAACACCATTCTTTGACAAAAATCCATGTTTAAGATAATTATAATCAAATAAAATAAATGAAAAGAGAAATTAATTACTTAACAAATAAATTTGCAACAAATCAAAGAAAGATAGCAAGCATTGGAAATGGTCCCACAAAGAAGTACAGAGTAGCTTCAGTTATAGATTGAAATACAGAGGGTGTTAACAATGTAAAGGAGGTAACTCAGTTTTAACTTATAAATCTTTGTGCCCCAATCTGTATTGCAAATGGCATACAATGTCTAATGGATGCAACTTCAATTATAACGTAAATTACAAATGTTGTAAATAATATAAATGAATGTTATTTTTAGTTTTTGAACTGAAAAACATATTAAACTGAATTACAAATGGTACAAAAATACAAATGGAGGGAACTCAATCAGTAACAAAGTGTATTGCAAATGGTGTAAAAAATATAAAGGGAAGTAAATAATGCTTTACATACTTCTTTATCCATTTCCATTTCTTCTCCAAACTTGAGGTCTGTCATTTGTTTATACACTTCTTTCTGGTCACGAATCACTGGATACACGTGATACTTGAAGCTTAGATGATCTATGGGCAGATTATACTTTCTAGCATAATTCTGTAAGGTGCCAGTTAAAAATCCTGTACAAAAGGGAAATAACTTGTGATTACTTGTATCCAAACACATAATGAGGTACAGTAATAACAGAGTAAGCCCAAAAATAGCTGACATATCAAAGGCTCCAATAAAAAGTTGATAAAATAATATTGTCTTTCCACAATACTATTTTTTTCTATTTTAGAAGGTTTATAAAGGCAAAATATAATAAAAAAATTCAGACACAATGGAATTAATGAGTCCAATAATTTGAGAAGGGTTTTCTATTAAAACTAGAGTATCACAGAGTGTGTATTGTTCTGCAAACTGAAATTTGTGTTTCTATTTTGTTTTTGCCCTCTCTTTACACATTTTTATCATTAACTTGGTGGTAGATCCACCTAAGTACATGCAACTTTCCTGGATAACTAACCAGTAATTACCAATCCCTCCCCCAGGCAGACATTAAACTTAGATATATAATAAGAAGGAATAAATATTTAGTTATATTCTTATATTTTATAGTTTATGTTCTTGTAAATGTTTTGCAATATTAAGTAATTTTTTGGTACCACAACGAGTGAAATATTTTCAAGGGTTCACTTGTAATATACAAACATGCCTCTGAAATAAAATCTTACCTTGTGGGAAAAAGAAACCAGACAACCAGAAAGACTTGGGAATTCCGTGCTGAATCCAATTATCAATAAAAGCACAACGGTACACCAGATCTTGTACCCAGCTTCCGAGTGGTTTCAGGGACGGATACGCTGCGTTAGCCCACATTGTTGGGACGTGACTATTGATGAAGCTGTTGTATACAGCGTCTAATTGTTCGCTCATTACCACATAACCCTTGATGGCCTTCTGTAGGTTCTCCAGAGAGTTCTGAATATAATAGAAAAGCAAACAAACATTTATAAATTTCCATCGCTTTTAAAAGATGCGCAGACTCCAGTATTCAAATACAATTAGTTGCCTCTTACGATCATGCAGGGATGAACAGTGGCTGCCTAAACCCTTAAAGGCAACCCCTCAGTCACAAGGTTAAAAGATATAAGTTATAATAACTGATCTTATTTCCAAACAAAGCACATGTTCAATTCATCTATAAATGTTTAAAAAACTAGAAATGTGTCCATAGGACACGGATGCCCCCACACGCCACTGTTCTGTCAATCTAATGACTCTTGGTCAAATATTTTTTGGACTACATGTGCCACAAATTGAAAACTATAAATCAACAAAGGGCCATAATTCTGTTAAATTTGGTCGCAGCAAAAATTCCTTCCTGTAATACCATCTACACATTAAGGTTGTTCATCCCTGGAAGTTTAAGCAAAATCTGTCATCCGGTTTAAGAGGAGTTGCGTTCACAAAATTTTACATAGTATATAGTGAAAAAATCAACAAAGGGCCATAATTCTCTTAAATTTGGTCGCAGTGAAAATTCCTTCCTTTACTACCATCTACACATTAAGGTTGTTCAGCCCTGTAAATTTAAGCAAAATCTGCCATCCGGTTTAAGAGGAGATGGGTTCACAAAATTTCGGGACGTACGGACAGACGTACGGACGGACACTCGGACGGACAAGTGCAACGCTATATGCTCCCACTCTGTGGGGGCATAAAAACTTAGCATAAGCTGGCACCTGAGTACAACCAATGACCTTCTGTAAGCTAGCTGGTTATATATAACTTTTTATGCGGCATCATATGTTTTTGGAAAATTGAGAAATAATCTGTCCTTAAAGACATAAAACTGACATTATTTCAATTTTGGTATTTAACAAAACAAACAAGACTAGTGGACAGAAAACAAATGGAAAAATACAGCCTCATAACTATTAAGACAGAAATCTAATAGATAAATTCAGAAAAATAGATTTCAACAAACCTTGATAACTTTGAGCAGTTTATTAAATCTTTCGACCTCCTGAGTGAGCACGGTGGTCAGTGAATTAAGACGACCTTTTTCGTCAGGTTCAAACATCTCACTGTTGGCTAACTCTATATCTAGTTTGTCCATTAGTTTACCAAGAATCGTCTCTGCTAGCTCATACACTATCTCGTCATTAGATTTACCAGTTCCTCCACTAGACATGCGAGGTTGTACATCAACAATGGTGTTGACAAGGTTCTGTGTCTCTTGTGTCTGTAAAATGAAATATATCAAAAATATTTCATTTGTATAATCATTTAAAAATGATTTTGTTTTCACATCATAATATGGGTTTTTTTTCTTGGGAACAGTAAAAGAACCTAAAAGAAATGGCTCTGAATGAATAGTAATAACTGACCAGGAAATCTATGACCATGTATTAGGGTATTGAAAGACTTGAACTTATTTGGGAAGTAATGTCTATGTATTGCAAGAAATAATTTTTTTGAAAAGCAATGCATGACCCTGTGTGAAAGAAAATACCTAGAAAGTAATGACCTGGGAAGCAATGACCAGGTGTGACAAAAGAAATAAACTTACCTGAGAAGCAATTACCAATTGTGACAAAAACAACTTTCCTGGGAGGAAATTACCAGGTGTGACAGAAAATAACTTACCTGAGAGGCAATGACCCTGTGTGACAGAAACAACTATCCTGGAAGGAAATTACCAGGTGTGATAGAATACAACTTACCTGGGAAGCAATGACCAGGTGTGACAAAAAATAACTTACCTGGAAAGCAATGTTAGCATTCTCGTGCATGCCAAATATCTCTGGTTGATCTATGAGAGGTAGACCATCTATATATTGTCTATATTCCTCCAGTGTAGTGGATTCTGGGGCATAGTATGTGCCTGTAAATATAATATAATAAACAACACTTCATTAAAACCAAGATATCATGCGTAACAAAAAGATTTTCTACAATGCACGGATTCTAAAACTATTTCATATATTTCATTTTCATATGAAAGGTTTTTTAGGAGTTTGCAATACAAATAAGGCAATCAAACTACAATAATAACAAGGCTTGCAAACTTCCCATCCAGGAATTTATGACAAAATCTAAATAGCATCATGAAACCTGTAGGGTGTAAAAAAAAAAATTAAGGAAAAGAATAATGATCTATATGTTATACTGACCAGAGACAGAATATTTGTAGTCTGGTGCCAGTGTATTTGGACTGAAGAAGATTTTCAGAATGGTTCCCAAACATCTTTGATCCTGGTAATCGGTGACACGACCACCATATGTAATCTATAAATACACATGTATATAGTGAACATTCTAAAAATGCAAATAAATAGCTGAAACTGTAATTTATATATATTTTCTAAGATCTATCGCGTTAGATGCCCCTCATGCCTTTAGAGGGATATTTTATTAGTGTATTGAGGTTTCACTTAAAAACTGCAACAAAGAACCAAAAACTTTGTTTAGAATTTCAGGTGTTTTCCTCACGTCGTTGTTACTGAACTATCAATTCTATTGTGCAAAATGACCCAAAAATGAAAATGAAACGCTTTTCACTGAAAGAATTGAACAAAAAAAATCAATCTTCAATTTTACTCTTAAAATATATACATATCTTTTTTTATCATCTTTTGAAAATTTTTTAATTTATGTGCTATACTTATCTATGTAAGAATTTCAAATTTTATATTTTTTAAGGCCTTTCAACCTCAGTGGAGCACCTATCATGATGATAATGAACCAAATTAAAAACTGCATGTAGACCAAATGTATTCTAAAATTGGATTTTCTTGAAATATTTTGGCTCATCTGGAGGCATGCAGCTTTAATTACGGTAATAAAACAAATTAAAAACTGCATGTAGACAATTATATGACCACATATATATTACCTGTCCAGTGATGTAAACAAGGGCGTCCCACGGTATAATGCCTTCCTGGCAAAATATCTGCAGATTGAGTAGAGCGCATTCACGGTCACTGTCATTAAACTCGTACTGTAATATATAAATATATATCTCTCTGTAATGAGTAAATATACAATATTTCTCACTGGCAATAAAGTACAATATATGTAAATATAGAATATATCTCACTGGCAATAAAGTACAATGTATCAAAATGTGTTATAAATGAAAATAACTTATACATGAACTTGTTCTACAATATATAAATATACATTATAAGAGGGGCTATATCTCTCTGTAAGAAGTAAATATAGAATATATCACACAGGCAAAAAGTGCAATATATAGATATACATGATAAGGGGGTATTTATAATCTTCTCTGTAATAAGTAAATATACAATATATATATCACACTAGCAAAAGGCGCAATATATAAATTATATATATGATTAGGGGGTACATTCTCTGTGTAATGAGTAATTATAGAATATATCTCACTGGATAAAAATACAAATATAAATATATATTATTAGGGGGGTAATATGTCTCTATAATGAGTCAATATAGAATATATCCCACTGGCAAAAAGTGCAACATATAAATATTAATAAAATAATAAATGATTAGGGTGTAATAACTCTCTGTAATGTGTAAATTAAATATATCTCACTGGCAAAAAAGTATAATGTATACTTGCATAAGTATGCCAAGGCATGAGAATATAAATTAACCTCTGTAGAACAATTACCTCTTCACAACATCTATATTATTTTCCAAAACTAACATTTCAAAACTGAATTTACTCTCTCTAGAGAGTCCCCTCTCATCAACAACCCAAAAAAACTTTGTGCCCCTAAAAGGCTATTGCTGTGCAGAGGGTGTACTAATTATATATAACTATAAACTACCAAATACCTTAATATTCCAACCAAGTGGGCCAAACTTCTTCCTCTCCTGTATAATAGCATGGAAGAAACAGACTCCAAATACGATTCTTCTCCAGTCATTTCCAAGCACATGGTCTTCAAAGTAGTTTGGAGTAATCTCAGCAAAGGCTCTCCTAGTATTTGCCTAAAAAAAAGAAAAAAAAAGAAGAGATATTATTAACAAATATTACAAAAGACTAAAGTCATCATTGCCCAACCATATTGAAAAAAAAAATTAATTTCAAGATGTTTAAGTAATGATTATAACAGTTTCATTCTTAATATTTTTCCCTCAAAAATTTTTGTTTAAAGCAAAATTATTAAAAATATTTTAAAGTAAATAAAGAAAGTAATTTACACATTGCAAATGACACTTATTATCCACATTAATTACAAGAAAAGGTAAAATTATGCAAAAATAACTCTTACTGTGTTAGTCAAGAACACAGCAACTATATGGTGATAAATACTGCAAAATCAGTCAGTTATCACACATAACATGTAAATTATTAATTGAATCTCTTAAATCTTCTTCCTTGCCTTAAGATCTTAGTATATTTTTATCAAGTTTGAATTTTAAAAAGAACAATATGGGCTCATCTGGAGGCATGTAGCATGTAGCTTTAATATAGAAACCTGCATGCTTACCTTGAGACCTTTGGGCGGTTCATTTGTGACCTTGACACTGTTTTGTAGTACACTGACAGGGAACTTGGTCGATGGCATAGAGCTGAGGAAGAGCCTGTATTCGTCATGTATCTGATCAGGTTTCTCCGAGATGTCCTTTACTAATTCTTCCATCGGCAACATCCAAGATGCCGCTAAATGACAGTTCTGTGAAATGAAAGAGGTGATTATTTTACTATATGTTTGTTACAGCAATTCTCATTGGATGAGCATAATATATATTAAATAAATATATAATTATATAATTATAACAAGAGCGATCAGTAATCACATGTGTCCGCCTCATTATGGCCAATTTCATGTTGGGACAAATTTTGTGACAGACGGACAGACAGTGCACAACTAGACTTGGTACTGATCATTCCTGTAAATTTAGATAAAATTGCACCCAGTAGTTTTATGAGGAGTAGTCCAGACAAGCTTTTGCGTATCTGGCAACACAGAGAAAAAAAACAACCTTTTTATCAAGGGCCATAACTCAGCCAAAAATCATTCAACCGGAAAACCCGTGCAATAATGCGCAAGGACTTGAGCTACAAGATTCAATGCTGTAAAGTTTCATTGAAATTGCATTAGTGGTTATAAAGAGAACTAGTCCGGACAAACTTTAAAAATAAAAATTATTAAAGGGCCATAACTCTGACAAAAATCATTGAACCGGAAAATGCTGACAATATGCACAACTAGACTTGGTACTGATCATTCCTGTAAAGTTTGGATGAAATTGCACCAGTAGTTTATGAGGAGTAGTCCGGACAAGTTTTGTGACGGACGGACGGACAGACAGACAGACAGACGGACAGACAGACGACGGAGAAGTGATCCCTATATGTCGCCACTACTCCGTAGAGGCGACACAAAAACGATAAAAAATACAAATACTGCATATCTATAAATAAAATGTCTAATGTCAAATCAGAAAAAAGGAATATGCTCAGTATAACTAAATATTTTTTACTTTTATTTTTACATTATAACAGTTGAGCCATATAACCAGTCAAAACCATTTTTATCTACATGTTAGCTTATGCGAAATTATTTTTTGTTAGATTGTACTGAAAGCTATAAGCTTATTGATACGCCTTTGAATTCCAGGAACTAACCAGTATTAATTAAGCAAGCAATGAGTGTAAAGTTTCTTGCTTGCTCAAGGAAACAACAAATTACTACTTTGTTTACATTTTACTACTTACAAATAAATTATTTTCACATTCAGCACTAGTTTCTGTGTGGGATATGCATCTAACATGCTTTAAAATCATTATTCAAACATAATAAAACTCATGTTTGCCCCTTATGATATAGCAAAGATTTACTGGTTTCTGAAGCATTATACAGGCAAACATGTGTAAAAGACAACTTCTGAATAGAGACAACCCTGTATATACAGGAAAATCTCTTACAATCCTTCATTGATTAAAAAGAACAAGGTAACCTCCAAATAAAGACCACTTGTCTATAAAGGCCATGTTCCGTATCTCCCTTGGATGACCTTACTTCACAGGTTTGACTGTATGCCTTTCACATTAATACATTTCCAAAGATTTCAATAGCTTTGTGACTCATGTAAATACATTCAAGAACTTACAATCAAAATTTCTGACCAAAAACAAAACTTAATGTAAACAAATGACAAGAAAACCAACCTGTAGGAAGACCCAGTCTCCAACTTGTATAGCACTTTTGATCATTTTCTCGGCCACTGGACCTTGGCCTTGACCCAGTGAGATGGACTGGACCCTGAAATATAAAATAATCTGTCATAAATATATGTGAATGTGGTATGATTTTTATTATGAAGTTTAAGGAAATTATATATTTACAATGATTTCTTTTTTGAAAATAACCTGGACCTTTGGTTCTAAGTCATTTTGACTATCTCATTTTTTTTTTTATCAAAACAAACCATAATTGATGAGACTAAAAAAAAATAACTTAAAAAAAATACAGAACAATATGACTCTTTTTTCATTTTAAAGGACTACATGTTGTTCAATTTTCAGGTATTTATATGTAGATGCGATTTGTGGCAGTGGTATTTGTAATTTACCCTCCACAGCATGACAGGCAGCCACCCTATGTCATTTTGTTTCATTTATTTTAACTTTTCTTCATTTCTGCTCATACTTCAAATAACAAGAAAATCTTTTTTGAGTACAGTCATTCCATGACGTAAAATTATAGCGGTGAGGAAACACATACCAAATTAACAAACTATTTAAAGTAAAGCAAGTAAATCGAACCCCCCTCCCCCCCCAAAAAAAAAAAAAAATATCTTTATCTCTTTATAATTATCTCAATAACTCAAACTTTTGACTTACTTATCAGTGTTACCAGTCTCTCTTGCAAATCTAAGGAAAGCTCCCATCGGATCTGAGCCCGTGCTCAGCACAAACACAAGCGGAGCCACCTTGGTCATGTCATTGTACAGGGTTTGTAATGCAACATTTGGACTCTCAACAAACTGATTGCCCAAGTTTTCTCTCACAAAGTCTGTTGTTCCGAATATAGTTTTTTCTTCCTTGAATACTTTAATGAACATAAGTTTCTGGAAACTTGTCAGTCTCTTGTCCCAGTGACCTTTCACTGTGCCATCATCTATTATTTCTTGATCTTCAGCGGCATCTGGGGCATCTGGCTCAGGCCCATAACTGTCATCTGTTTCAGGGTTTCCTCTTATCTATAAATAGATTATAAGTCTATAAATAGGCAAGAATTCTAAAAATAGACTTTGATCAATCTATAAATAGGACAAAAATCTAAAAATAGTTTAACGGTGAATTCTGAGCAACCCCAAACCCATAATTTTATTCTGTTGCAGGGTGTATTTTCTTATCTAGATTATCTATGAATAGATTATCAGTATATTTAAAGGCCAGAGTCAATAAATAGGTCAGCAAACTATATAAAGGGCAGACATCTATGAATGTATAATAACCATAGGCCAATGACTTTCATCTGTTTTAGGAAATTATAAGTCTATTACCCGGTAACCATTAAAGAAAAATTAAAATAATAGTTTTTTAACAAACTTATGAATAAAAGTATACAAACCAAATTTTCTCCTAATTGGACCCAGCATGGAGTCTTGGTTAGGTCATTGTAAATTCCACGGAAAGCTGGGAGTGAGTCACTAAGGTCACAAGCCGAGTTCCACACTTGCCTACTGATCCAAGGTACACTTGGTTTAGGCGGACGCTGCTTATCAAGACCTGAATGGAAAACAAAACCATCATTAGATGTTAACTCAGACATAAGGAGTACTTGTACTGTTAGTTGCGGTATGGCCGAGAGGATAACACCTTAGGCAAGCAATTATTGCTGGCTGCGCAAGTTCAAACCTATTAAAAGGCAATGTGTTGTTAAGGAAGAAACTTTACAACCATTGCTTAATACTGGTTTATTACAGGAATTAATTCAAAAGTATGCCTAATAGCTTCCTAGCAGACTAAAATGAAATTAATTTTATATGAACTTTAAATAGCTGATTTGATATAGAAGTTTAGCATATCATTAGTGATAGTAATGGATATAAAATCACATTTTGCTCAAAAAATGAATAAATATTTACTTCTTTAGTAGAAGTGTCAAACATTTTATAATGTTTAAATAACGGCTTTAGAGCATGTAAGATGCTTGTTTAACCTGCAGGAAATAGTGCTAAATGTAAAATAATATGTCATAAAAGTAGCAAAGTATACACAAAGTAGTATATTGATTCCATACAAAATAATAAATCACCTTATCACATGAATTAATTTCCAAAAAGAATCTGAAGGATTCAAGACAGTTCAGGTAATTGGCAAATGAGTAACTTGTTGCAAACTATAAATGAAGACCAAAAATAAACAGATTTTGAGAAATTAAAAATGACAGCATTTCTTGGACATAATGGGCTTTTAATTTAAACATATCTCTAGTTAATGATATAGTAATTTAAAAATTCTTCCTAATAAGTTTATATCTATAAAGACCAGTAGAGTTATAACCAAATTATAGATAAGCACAAAAATTTGACATATGAAAATGCTGTGTGAAAAGCTGACATAATAATTACAAAGAAGACAGTTTTACCACTGGTCAAAACATCAATATTGGTGATCTTGTGATTTGAACATAGAGACAACTTGGGACAATAAAAGTAATGAGGTCAGATGTTTTCATATGTATTGCTTTTCTGTTGTTGTTTATTTTAATATATTTTCATACATGCCATAATTTACAGGCATACTAAAAATTAATTAACTTAACATAAAATGTATTATTATGATAAATTCCTGCTACAAAGGAGATTATTTACCGGGACATTAATCATCTCCGTGACACCTCCGGGACAGTCCCCTAATTTCCGGGACAGTCCCTGAAGTCTTGGGTATTATGGCAAGGAGTTTATTTAAGATTTTTATTCTTACTGGAACATAAATCATCTCCAGGACAGTCACCTGATTTCCAGGACAGTCCCTGACGTCCGTGGCATTATGATAAGAAGATTATTTCAGAATTTCATTTTTACCGGGACATATTAAATCATCTCCGGGGCATCTCTGGGACAGTCACCTGATTTTTGGGACTCTCCCGTAATTAGTGACATTATGGCATGTATGATATTCTTTGTTTTTTGTTTTGCTTCTTAAACAGGAATTTAAGTTTCATAAAAAAACATTAACTCAAAATACTGCAAAAAATCTAAATGATCAACTAATGGAACATTGAAAATGAAATCAAATTGAAACATTTTTTTTTTTTTTTTTTTGGTAAAGAAAGGAGCAAACAATAACAAATAAGATGGAAAAAACAATAAACAATTAAAACATTTAGTTTTTACAAGTCATTTCTTAACCTTCTGCTGAGGCTGTAAATAAATTTATACAAAAAAAACAAAAACACATTAGAATAGAACCAGATACAAGATAAGAAAATCTAACTTTTGGTCAAGTCATGACAGGGTCCGGTTTTCAGAATTTTTACTGTATTGACAATACTTTTTAATGAGTTAGCATATAGGTTCTTTGACCTCAATTTTTTAGATTGGTTTTAAATTGCACAAAACAAATTATGAGTACAAACTCAAATCTCAGGTTTTTGACTGATCAGAAACCAACACAGAATATAATATCAACCAATGAAAATCTTGAGATTCGAGACAAAACTCCGATAAAAGTTTTATACCCTTGAGGGCTGGTTTCAGTGGTGTAAGAAATAAATTCTAATTAGGTCAACCTACCTGCAGCGCCACGTAGGAAGAAGTTCCACTCAGGGACCGAGATTTCCTCCGCGTTTCTCATTATCTCAACACACAACATGAAGGAGAACACAAGTTTGTCCTTCTCAAATAAACCTCTGAAAAATACAACCATATTAATTACACTACATGTACAGTCAAACTCTGTCCGTTCGAACTGGGATCGCTCAAATTCCTCCATTCACTTGAACTCATCGCCCAGTCCTGGCAAAATTCCTATATGATATATTTTGTTTTACCTTGGATTGCTCGAAAATCGTTTGCATTGTATATCATAAAAGAATTAAGACTCAGGCTTTCTGAATACAATTTATTATTATTGAGTCATTACCAATTCACTTTTTTTTTTCTTAATTCCTTTCAAATTACACCAAGATTTGCATGGAAATACCCATCTCTGTTTGCAATGCTTAGCCCATCATTTGTATATGAGACTTGAGATAAAAGCTGAGCTCCATATGTATTGCCATGGAACTACGAAATTCAAGAATATTGTTTATACTTAAAGTTTTCTAAGCCTCATTATGGTATAGACAGAGAGGTATGCTATTGATAGTAATTTACTTTACCACATTCTGGTGTATATAGAGCTAGTGGTAGGCCACAAATAAATCTATTAATAGAACTTTTACAAAGCCATTATCTAGTACATGGTATAGCTTTTAATAGAATTTTACCTTGCCACATTCTGGTATATAGAGAGGGTGGTTTCCCGCAGACATATCTCCAACCTCTTCTCAAGGTCGGGATTTTTCTCGCTGTTCTCTATCGTCTGGTTAAACAGCTGGAAATATACAATAAAATAATCAGTCACAGTTTTTAGAATATGTTTCTAGTCAGGTCTTGTCAAAAAAACCTCAGTGAAGTTCCTTTAAATAGTTACCACAAATCAACATATTATGTAATTTGCAAATTGTTTTGACAGATAATTTGAAAATGAGGTCAGTGACCGCCATTTTATTTTTCACTTAAAATGTTTCTTTTATCGTATTCTTAAATCATGGCGATACAAAGTTTAAATAAAATTCTATTTTCGAATCTGCTTTATGTCTTTATATAACCTGAGAGACAAGGTCTTCAAAATTTGAACAGGCTGTTCCAAATATGTAACTTACAGCTTTGAAGTATTTCAGAGAGAACTGGTACATAGGATCTACGCCTCCCATGTCGGCTACAACAAAATACATGACCGAGCCTCGAGTAGCTACGACACGATACTTCTCACGTGCAAGACTGATCTTCTCCTCTGTCTGCTCGGCCTCGGCCAATCTCTGCTTGATCACGCCAGATGTTACCTAGCAACCAAAAAAAAAGGAGATTAACATTTGAAGGTTTAAAACTAGAATATTTCCTAGAAAGGTGACCTTTCAATACTGGTACAAAAAAAGATTGATAATGTCCTATACATTGGTTCATGACAACAGCAGTATAATGTTTAACTTTCTACCTAGTGATCAATCGATAGGTCAATAAAAATGAATTTTTTCTAAATATTTTTAGAATTATTGCTGACCTCTTTCAAAGGGGATTCTTGCAGTAAACTTGAACGAACTTTGGTGAAAATCATCTCAAAATATTTATTTCAAATGTTTAATGATGATTTGCTAATTTGTTAATATAAGTTGTAATCTATTTTCAACGACATTGTGACATCTTAAGAATTAAACAACATTGTGCAGATAAAAACATTTTTTTTTAAAATCTCTTTACCTTAGAATCATTCAATGTGTTAATAAGCTCCTCATTGTCCAAGATGTTTCCCTCAGATTCAAACAGGAGCTTGAGAATTCTGTCTTCTATAGCCTTCAGCTGGTTCTTGTCAGCATTGATCTTTGTAATGAGCTGGTTCCTCTGTTCTTCAAGGTCAGGACGTTCCAAGCTCACCACTTCACTATAAGTGTTTAAGGAATTTCAATATGAATATACAAGCATTTTTAACTACCATTCTGTATAAAGTCTGGTCAGAATGCATAATTATAATGATCAGCAACCTTTCTACACAATTTTTTTTAAGGATGGAGAAAAATATCAGATTGAAGAAGGTACTGAGTGTCTCACATAAAGAACATCATACAAAAGGAAACAAATACGAAAAATTCAATATGAATATACAAAAATTTGACTACCATCAGTAACTAAGAGCCTGCATATAATGATTGGCAACCTTTATACAAAATTTTAATTAAGGATGGGGAAAAATATCAGATTTAAGAAGATCACTAAAAGTGTCTCATATTAAAAATATTATAAAAAGGAAACAAATACAAAACTGAAAGAAAAACCATCTTAAACTTGTCACCACTAAGCCAAAATAGACTTTCTGGGATATTTTCTGAGTATATCAACACCATAAAACTTAATAAAACTGCAGGCCAGTCTAAACTTCTATACAATCTGATTGGTTGGCTCATCTTGCAAATTTCAAAATTGACCAATAAAATCAGTGTCATTCCCTAGACTGGTTTCTTTATTTTCAATATTTTACCAATATGGACTGAATATCAAAAATGATGAAATTACCTGAGTAACTGATCCTCCAGGCCAGATTTAGTGACAGTAAAGTTAATGATGGTTACTTTAATGCAGACTTCAGGTAGATAATGCGGATTGGACATCTTTGTGGTCATGTAGAACTTGAAGTTCTTATCATAGTCGATGTCGCTATCACCAAGTCGGATCAGTAATCTACCACCCTGTAATGTATAAAATGTACATGGTGAATATTATATTATGCTATAAAAATGTCAATTATAATGCAATTATTCTAAAATAACACTACATGAATGTTGGGTGTATCTTTAAAAAGCTAAGCTTATATGTTATAGCTACATATATGTCTCTACTGAGTTTACCTTTATCTACACTCCTGTATCTTATATCCTTTTGCTTGTATCTACTACCCTTCTGCTTATGTCTGTTCTCCTTTTGATTACATCTATTACAGTTTTGCTAATATCTGTATATTTATCTAAACGTTTTAACTAGTATACACATGTTACCCTTTACCTTGCATCTATAACACTTATTTTTTTTAGTTATTACCGTTTTGTTTACATCAATGGTTAGGGTTGACCTTACAATTTTGTTAACATTGATTACTCTTTTGCATTTGTTTATAACCCTTATACGGCTTAACTGCCACATATTTTCACCACATTAATTTGCATGAAAAAGCTTAATTCTGGTACAATGCAACATTATTTCCAGTACTTATGTTTGTATTCATCATCATCACTCCTTTCACTCACCTGCATAAATGTCTGCTTCAACAAGACTGGTTCCAGGGCTGGGTCAAGGAATTCACCCAAATCCTCACAAAGTACCGGCATACCAATACGGATACAGTTTTCCAGTGTTCTCAAGAAATTACCGTCAGTCAGCTTGATAATCTTTAAACCGTTCTTGTTCTCCATATTTCTGATCCATCTGTTTGCCTAAATAACAAAACAAAATTTCTATAGAAAAAAACTGATAAACAAAACTTGTTTTTAAATATATTTCTTCCTCTATAACCTGCTATACCTTCCGGACTTGTAATGAACTTGCCCTGATTTGAATATTGGACAGTCCATTTGAAATTTAAGGGATTTCAGTATTAAAACGTTAAATTTGAGTAATCTGCATGCTTTGTGGATTTTCCCTGATTTGAAGATAAGACAGTCCATTTGAAGTTTAAGGGACTTCAGTATTAAAATTCAGAAAATTAAATTGTCAACATGCTAAACTAGTGGAATGGATTTTCTATGCTTTGACTATTGGGCAGTTCATTTGAAGTTAATGGTATTTCATAATAAAAACTAAATATTGCTAGTGCTTCAACCTGTCACAAAAGTCAAAAAAATATTTAGTTTTCTCTCTCTACCAACTGTAGACCAGTATTACATTTGTTCAGAAATTACCTACAAATAATGACCACGTTTTTCATTCAGACTAGTCTTAATACAAAGGTATTTATAAAAAAAAAGATTGATAGCTTTTCCATTGGCTCACTGTATAAACTCTATAGTTCCAAATTCAATGTAGGTGAGGGTCATAACATACATTTTGATTTTTTAAGTATTTACATTAACAAAGATTAGATTGAAATTCAATTGTGCAGTTACACACAGTTTACAGAGTTAAACATGTTGACATTCACACAATTTAGGGAGTTATAGGTGTTAACAATCTAACCTGTTCTTGTGGATCAATCATAAGTGGCCATCGTCGCCCTCTTGTAACAAGGATAGCATTTTCCGTCGAGACCTGATCTTTCGGCAGACCGTCTGTGTTCCACTGTCTTATCTCGTAGTTATCTGCCAGCACACTTGTTATCGTCATACCCTGCGTTACCGGGATGTCCAGTTCTTTACATCGCTGGATCCAGTTCTCCACGAGCTCGTGACGATACACGCTGGTAAACGCGCCGTAATACGCTACACAAGCTGCACCGACAAACACGTCGCCTGTCACATTGCCAATCTCAATATTGAATTTCTACAAAAATTGGAAAAATTTACAGAAATTATAAATTTAAATTAATTTCTGAAACATGTATACTTTGATATCAATATAAGGAAAACACAGAACAAAAAAAAGAATTATCTTAAGAACAAAATAAAACAACATGTTTTATATACATTCATGTGAAATATCTGGAAAAAAAGTGATCCCTCGGAAGAATTGAAAATAGCAAAATTACATTAAAATTGCAGATTCAGTTTGATTGAGTCTGTACATGAGGGTTAATGAAAAAGTGCAACATCCCTCAGGCTCCCTAGCACCGGCTTGAATGGTACTCAATTCTCAACACGTAAATGAGCTGGACTCAATGATCCCGACAAAGCCATCCTAAAAGCTTGACTTTTTCTTTTGGGCAGATGAGCTATTAAGAATAAAAAATGAACAGTTCCGACAATGGTATCAGGACAAGTAAATTAAAGAACACTTACATCGACAGTCTCACCCCACCTGACTTGTTCGTCACCTAGAGCAGTCGTCAGTTTGGCCGCTCTCTTCAATCGAGCAGCGGTAGTCGAGATGTTTCTCTCTAGTTTTTGTTTCTCAGCCATGCTGTCATCATACGTCTTCTGCAGCTCGGCGATCTTTGCCTCGACTTCTGCGAGTTTCGCCTGTTTCTCACGTAACATTGTCATCACAGCATCTAACTCAGCCTGGGCTGTAGCTAACCTAAAATATCAAACAATTATAAAATTATATATCTTGCTCACTTTGAGAGATAAACAGCTCAGCTTGCTAAATAAAGGTTTGTCATTATTAAAATACTGGGAAAGGAACTCAAAGAATTCTGGCAGCAATGGTTAAAGGTTTTTCGTTTTGGAACAAAACAGTGCTTCTAGAGAAAAGTGGGATAAGTACTTTGTTAACAATATTTAACAGTTTGCTTATTTATGAATTCCTAACTGCTAGTTTGTTCACAAATTTCAAAATCAACATTTTATAGTCTGTTCTAAACTTTAGATATAATGCAAAACTAAAGGTTTTTTCACTGTCTATTATAGGAAGGGGGATGGGGGGACGATTCATTTATATTTTTTAGAATTCCCCTCTATTTTTTCCGAGGCAGGGGGGAAATTTTACATAGAGAAAGAAAGAAAAAGATTAACAAATGCAATAAATTCTCACTTTTTGATAAAAATCCCCCCTGTTTATCGAATCCTAGAATAGACACTGTTTATTAACGTAAAGTTATAGTCGGTTTCACTTACTTTTGCCGTTTTGGTTCCACTGTTCTGTATACATGGGCGTAAGTGTCCATAGCTCGTACCCACATACACATAGATCTGCACGCCTAGAAATTACGTAAAAATATACAAGTTAGATAACTCATCCACACTTTAAGTTGTCCTTTCTTTAATGAATGTGGAGGATATTTCTTTAGTTCAGTGTAAGATCTGAATATATTTCACATAGTGAGCACCATCAGGTATATTTCATGAGTGGTGCAGCCACGAGTGAAATATGAACTTTTGGTATTCACGAGGTGAAATATATTTCGATCTTACACTGAACTAAACAAATTTTCTTTTTATTATATGCAAAGAAACGTTTAAAAGGACATTTTAATGTAATACTAAATGAAAAGCGTGCCAAATAATAATTCAACATGACGTCATTTACAACCTGACATCATTAAGTTGGTTTCCAGTACTGTGCACACTGGTATGTCACTGAAACAACATAACCGGCTTAAATTCAAAACAGTGAAAATATCAAATTGATATTTTCACAGTTTATACATATATAAACCATCAAAAAGTATGTAATAAAAAAGATTAATGATGAAAAACAATAAACACACTATATTAGGTACTCCTTGTTTCTACTTTTTTTTCAGTTATAGATATGAATCAGAAATAGTTATGAAATTTGAAACATTAAGTTATTGAATAAAAGTGCAACTTTTCCTTTTACAAATTATATGTTTTCAGATGTTGTAAACTTAACACACAGGACTGCCATTCAAATCACATTCAACACACAAGTATATACATGAATATAGCACACTGGTGAATTATAAAAACATCCCAATTTTACCTTTGACACTTTGGCCACTTCCTCTGGAATGAATTTTGGATTCTCAATGTATTTCTTCAGTTTCTTAAGAATACTCTCACCAATATTGTCCTTGTCATATTCATAAAGTTTCTTCAAGAAGTTAGCATCTCCTAACATAGCTTTAGCTGCTGTCCAATCCGTCCTGAAATAGTAATTACCAGTGAACATTTATCAATATAAATAATGTCATCGAATGCCCAATCCGTCCTGAAAAATTAATTACCAGTGAACATTTATCAATACGAAAAAGTAATTACCAGTGAACATTTATCAATATAAATCATGTCATCGAATGCCCAATCCGTCCTGAAAAAGTAATTACCAGTGAACATTTATCAATATAAATAATGTCATCGAATGTCCAATCCGTCCTGAAAAAGTAATTACCCGTGAACATTTATCAATATAAATAATGTCATCGAATGTCCAATCCGTCCTGAAAAAGTAATTACCAAGTGAACATTTATCAATATAAATAATGTCATCGAATGTCCAATCCGTCTTGAAAAAGTAATTACCAGTGAACATTTATCAATATAAATAATATCATCGAATGTCCAATCCGTCCTGAAAAAGTAATTACCAAGTGAACATTTATCAATATAAATAGTGTCATCGAATGTCCAATCCGTCTTGAAAAAGTAATTACCAAGTGAACATTTACCAATCAAATGCCCGATCAGTCCTGAAAAAATTAATTACCACTTAAACATTTACCAGGGCTGCCAACAGCAAATTTCAAAATCAGCGGAAAATACGCCGGGGGTCAAGGGGGCTGCGCAAGCCCCCTTGGCAGGTCCAGGGCAGAGCCCTGGTGGGGTTCAGGGGGCGAAGCCCCTGAAAGCTCCTGGATTCTGATGATTTGGTATGCCCTAAAATCAATTTCCAGGACTCTAAATTTGACAAATATCCGACATTTTGACGCATTTTGACAACAGACAAGAGCGACAATGTAAACTGTAATTTGATTGGTTATTCTAAAATAGAATGCCGGAAAAGACTCGATATGACCAATGAGAAAAGCGCTTACAGACGTACCATAGGCGGCTAGCGTAACGATAAAAGCCGAAGTGTGCCGGTTTTTGGGTACTGTATAAAATATGACGAATGAATTTATTGTCTTTGTCGAATTTACATCGATCTCAAAAATGACCCAGGAGCTCATGAAATCCGCGGATTTCCGCGGATCCGCGGAAAATCGGCAGCCCTGTTTACTGAAATGTAGCCTCACTGAATGTACGATCCATCCTGAAAAATTAATTTCCACGTGAAAATTTACCGATATAAATAGTATTATTGAATGTCCAGTCCATCCTGAAAAAATTGATTACCAAGTGAACATTTATTGATATAAATAGCTTCATCAAATGTCCAATCTGTCCTGAAAAAGTAATTAGTGCAGCCTCAGACAACAAAGATCACAGTACAATATCCACATATTGCCATATTTTCTTTAATATTTATCTTTTTTTGATTAAATTATGCATCAATGCTATTTATAAATAAAAAACCTTTGTGTGTTGCCTTCCCAATTAAACAACACGCTGTGACAATACAAAAAAGGTTTTCACACTTTTACAAGGATTGAAAAGTTGTGTAAAGTATATGATATTTAAGCAACTCAGCCATAAAGATCATGTTTGGTCGTATTAAAAAAGGCTTAGTAACTTACTTCTGTCCGAGAAGAATACAGACAGACTCCATCACAGTCTGCACCATTTCAGGAGGTTTGCTGAACACTTTGATTTCAGAAATATCGCTCTTGTCCAAGGCGTCTAAAGCTTTAATGGCCGCCTCCAGTACGGGTATAGCCTCGTCAAGATCACGCTGAGCGTCATCGGCGATAGCTTGAGTCTCTTCTGCCTTCACCTTGGCAACAGCCTCGTCTTCCATGACAACTTTACGTACCTGAAGTTATTCAGTAAGATAATAACTACCATTGATACTTTACCAATCTAAGTGTTTAGAATGTTTCATGATTGAGCATCATTAAATGGGACTCAATTGGAGACTTTAAATTAATTTCTATGAATTCACTTAATTTCGTGGACATGCAATTTTGTGGTTTTGTCACAAAGAACATTTTCGTGGGTACTAATACTCCAAAATGTAAAATGTAAATAATGTAATGCAGGATAACCTCACAGCAGACAAAATGAAATTTTGTTGGATTCTTAATTTGCGGATTAACCTTAATTCACGAAGAAAAAAAACACACACAAAAATAAGCGCCTCACACATAATAATGATTTTGCACTAAGTTGGTGTTGCAGACCAAACTATTGACATCTGTATATTTACTGTTTACGACTCAAAAAATTTCATCAACAATAAAATATTTAATTACCGCGTCAGCCTTTTCTTGATCAACGACCAGACGTTCCATAAGATTATTTGTGTCTTCCGACTTTTTCTTAAGTTCCGGTTCAAGGGCAACTAACTCCTTCTTCATCTTGTCGACAAGTTCGTTGGTCTCCAACAGTTTGATCAGACCATTGTGTACACGATCCTTCGCCATTTTCAGTTGTCTGAAGTAGTAATAGTGAAAAAGAAAATATTTTAATTCTTTTCTGAAATAGTAATAGTGAAATAGAAAATTATTTATTTCTTTTCTGAAGTAGTAATATTGAAATAGAAAATATTTAATTTCTTTAAAAAAATATCTTTTAAAATTAACGATCAAGTTATATGTAAATAAAGGTGAAATGAAGGCATGTAATTTGTTTGTTTGATTGGGTTATAGGCTTAAAAAGCTGTCACCTTTAACCACTTGAATACCGGTACCCCAAAATATACTTACTTTGTTTTTTCTTGCAACATGGACAAGTATAAATTGATCAGTTCAAGGTAACTTGTAGGGGTGGTGTAGTACTTTCTCTTTAATTCGTTGAAGAATCTGTCCGCCATGTCCGTCACACTTGTATGTATCTCCACACACATTTCTGCAATACTTTGCTGAAATAATAATTAACACACACATATATAACTGAAATAACAATAAACACACATATGTAACTAAAATAACAATATCCACACATGTATAACTGACATAACAATATCCACACATGTATAACTGACATAACAATATCCACACATGTATAACTGACATAACAATATCCACACATGTATAACTGACATAACAATATCCACACATGTATAACTGACATAACAATATCCACACATGTATAACTGACATAACAATATGCCACACATGTATAACTGACATAACAATATCCACACATGTATAACTGACATAACAATATCCACACATGTATACTGACATAACAATATCCCACACATGTATAACTGACATAAGCAATATCCACACATGTATAACTGACATAACAATATCCACACATGTATAACTGACATAACAATATCCACACATGTATAACTGACATAACAATATCCACACATGTATAACTGACATAACAATTATCCACACATGTAATAACCACAGGAACTTGAAATTCTATCAATATTAATGATAATATCCAAAATATACCCCTATACAGTATATTTATACTGTATATTTTGATTTTTGGATATTATCATTAATATTGATAGAATTTCAATTTCCTGTGGTGTAACTGAAATAAATGTAACTTAAATAACAATAAACACACATATATGTAACTGAAGTAAGAGTGAAACAATTTCACATAAAATTATGGGTAAACTGCAATACAGGATATTATAGGGTCCTGAATTCCACCCCTCATTTTAACTTTAATAATAATAACAAAAACTTTACTAACAAATAAACTTTCACATTTACTTTACTACAAAAAACCCCAAAAACAACATCTATTTCAAATAAACACAATCATTCTCTCATAACTGCATGTAAAAAGGGTCATATCATTTCTTGAAGTGGTAGTTTTCTCAGTTCATAATGGTAAACAATTTGAAAACACTTACCTTTAATTCATCGGTACCAAGTTCAACATTCTCAAAGAATGATTTAGACACGCCTAACAATGCCTCTCTGGGCCACTCTGTGAACCAGTCAATTGTACAACAGTTTACGAGTGACGGGAACATACGGCATCTGGTGCGGAATGCATTACCAACTGGTGACATACATAATACAATATGGAGGTTGTTCCTGAAATAAAAATGTTGACATACATAATACAATATGGAAATTGTTTCCTGAAATAAAAATGTCGACATACATAATGCAATATGGATATTGTTCCTACAATAAAAAAGATTGAATCAATGTTAAGTGAAAAGGTCGGAGCTAAGGACACATGTCACACAAGGTCATTTATCACACTATAGTAGCCTATATTATTAGTTAATACAGATACATGTATTTGACAGGTTATATGACCTTATATAACTGTTTGGAACTGCTAGTTGAGGGTTATATGGCAAACAACTGTTCATATTCCATCATATAACCTGTCAGAAATATTTATAACAAATTTATAATACAGCAGGCATCATAGCATTCCTGGCCGTGTAGGTTCAGAGGCAAGCGGTTGTTTCCTTGAAGAAGGAATGTTACACTCATGGCTTAAAGGGAGACACAGGCAAAATTTTTATTTCTTAGTTTTGAATTTTTTATTAATTATTCTGTAAATGCCCTCAAAATTTACGCTTCAAATCCAAAATATATAGAATTTAGACAGAAATTCATGCTGAAACTTCAAGAAAAGTCATTTTAGTGTGATTTGAGTACATAAGAACATTTTAATATTTTTGTCATTATTTTGCCTGAATATCCCTTTAAAACTGGTTAGTTCCAGAAACTGCTTTGAGAGTGTTTCAATAAGCTTATAGCTTCCAACACGATTAAACTAAAAAAATTCACATAAACTAAATTTAGGTCAATTTTACCTGACACGGTTAATACAGAAATCGTAAATGGCATCTCTGTTACCCTCGGGGATACCGAGTTCTTTAGCCGCACCTCTACAACCAATGATCAGCTGTTCATATTCATCCGGTTCAAACAAGTTCGGAACTTCACCGGAATTGAGGATGTTATTAATATCTTCCAGGAATTCCTCGACCACGATCTATAAATAGATTATGTTAACGTTTTAATCATCTTGATTACATAACTATTAATAAAGATGACAATGGGCTGCCAGAATTTACGTTTTAAAAATGATGTTTATAACATACTGTTGATATACATGTAAATTAGACAAAAACATTAAAAAGACTGAGTTGACGAATTTCAAATCAAATTATATAAATTACAAACATTTAAAACAAAAATTCTACTTAATGCCTAATTCATTATAATAATCGTCACCTTAGTGCAATAACAGGTTAACTCAAATTAAATTTAGTAGGACTAAACCCTTTTCTGCATCCTTTCTTTTTCATCAGTTTCAATTCATACCTGGTGAGTAATTCAAACTAAATAAGACAAATTTTCAGCTTTCAACTTTGTCGAAAATTTTTGGAAAATTTTTTTTTAAAACCAATCTACAATATTTTTTTTTACAGAATTGCGACCCATTTCTGACACTGATTCTTACCTGGGTATCAGTAAACAGGAAGACAGTGTGTTCATTTTTCACACCTGCCATGTCGTAAAGTTTTTTAATATCATCGTGGAAGGCCGCGTAGTCGTAGCCTCTGCTTAACTCTATCTGGAAACATTTGTAGCCACAAATATGGGCGCTTAATCTATAAAATAAATAAATAAATGAATTTAGAACAAGATTCTATATTTAGAAACATTTGTATAATGTCACACTGGTTTAGTATAGTGCACTTTAGAGACAAGTTTCATGTATTCTGTACCTTGAAAGAGTAGTGCATATTTGAAACTAGTAGGTTTTTAATAAAAATTTTAAACTTTCCATTCAGACATTGCCATTGTGTTCCTCTCATATTAATTACTTTAGTTCATAATGTATAATCAAAACAAATATAGGAAATAACAACATGACATGCAATATAACTTTGTTTAAGCTGTGATTGCTTGTT